AATAGATTCCCAGGGATGATGGGGCATGAAAGGGCCGGGGGGGGGGTTGATTCAAAAATTGCAGAGAAACAAAATGAATGGCTTAAAACCTCTTCTTCAAATTCACATACAATGCCTAATGATGTTTTAATCGGCTGTAGAATGTGCTGCAGAATCTCGCTGTTGAATTAATCCATTTTCTGAGCTCAGCTTCTGACCTTGATGGTGATGATGTTCTGCACTTGGATCTTGCCTCCAATTAAAAATTAGTTTGCTAAGGGTCAGAGGAAGATTACCCAAATAGAATTAAATTATACATGGGGGGGGGATTGGATTGCGTGCTATTATTTCAGCTTCTGACAGAGAACGCTAATTAGGATACACCCATTTAAAAACGGACGCATCCTTGCAAGTAGAAAACCAGCAGATCAACATTTCCAGACACTGTATTGCTAGTTTTCTGTTTGCAAGGTGTTTTTAATCATCTGATAAAGAAGATGGGATCCTCTCACTACAGTTGCAGTAGAAATGGCTATTTGCTGATGCAGCAGACCAAACTTTTGAATTTTTAACATTTTACCTCTCTCCCCTTTTACCTATCCCATTGGCTTTGGGGAATGGATTTGACTTCTAGAATCCTCACCTGAATCAGAATGCCTGGAATAACTTGGAAAAATATTGTCGGAGCTTAACAAAGAGTCACCAGAACGTTTACGTCTGCACGGGACCACTTTTTCTACCCAGGTACCTGTTCCTCAATTCCCCCCTTCTATGCTGTAGCAATCCCGTCTGTGCATGATTCAAAGGAAAAAGTGCTCTTAAAGTGATTTTGTATTTTTGCCAAGAGGTTGGCCGAAAGACACAACCAAATCTTAAGGCAGCATGTCCCATTGCCATGAAATGGAGAAACAATTTCGATGCAGAATAAAAGTTCAGTCATGCAAACATTTGTATTTTTATTTTTTAAAAAAAATTAGGTTATACACAGACAATTCACAAGGCGCTCTTTAATCTTAAAGAAAAAGAAAATTTGAAAAAAAAATTAAAATGCAGTCTTAAGTTTGTAGAAAAAGGGGGAAACATCTACTTTACATTTTATACTTATCAACAGTCACTGGTTTACGAGTGAATTTACTACAATAACATGAATGCAAAATATTGCTGTAAGATATCACAGGGTTCAGGCAAAATGTCGTTGATATTTCTAGTTGATGCATTGCAAATATTCTGTTAAAACATAATTGACTCAAAATCTGAGGATGCATTGCACTAAAGCTTCAAACTGGTTTAGAATTCACTGCCCGGAGCAGTGTTTCTCAAACCTTGGCGGTTTAAAGATGTGTGGACTTCAACTCCCAGAATTCTCCAGCCAGCAT